ACCACCCCATGTCAGTTTTTTGTTTTTTTTTTTAACATTAAGTGCCTACTAGATGGTACAATGGATAGAATGCATGAGCTGGAGTCAGGAAGACTCATTTTCCTGAGTTCAGATATGGTTTCAGGCCCTTACTAGCCCAGTGATTTTTTGCTTCAGTTTCCTCATCTGTAAAAATGAGCTGGAAAAGGAAATAGCAAATTGCTCCAGTATCTTTGCCAAGAAAACCCTAGATGGAGTCATGAAGAGTCAGGTACAACTGAAAATGACCGAACAATAAATATGCCAGATCCTGGAGTAAGCACTTTACAAATAATATCTCATCTGATCCTCAGAACAAGGTGGATGCTATTATTTTACCCATTTTACATTTGAGGAAACTGAGGCTGGCAGCAGTTAAGTGATTTGCCCAGGCTCGCATAGCTAGTAAGTGTTTAAGGTTCAGATTTGAATTTAAGTCTTCTTGCCTCTAAGCCCAATGTTCTATCCATTAAACCATTTAGCTGCCTGTTTCTCTTCTCATAAAATGAGGGAGTTAGACTAAATTATCTCTTAAGTTTGTATCAACTCTAACATTTTATGACTGATTTTGATTTCCTTTCTTTGGCAAGGTAACCCAACTTCTTTCCAATCCATTCACCTACAAATAAATTAGTCTGTCTCTTCACCCACAGATCATCAGGAAAAAGTTGACCTAGCTGAGGGTCAGTTACTAATTCTCTTTTTTCCCCCAACTCCATTATGTTCCATTCCTTGTGGAACATGTGGGGAAGTGACTATTTCAGCCTAACCTTCCTTCCTGCTTTGGGAGTCTGGCCTTTTCTCATGGTGTGGCCTTATCTGACTCTATCTTCAGTGTGTCGCTAGAGGTTTCTGTATTAGAGATTTGACTGTAATCTTCTCCATAATTAACTTCTGTCTGCTTATTTTCCTTGTAGGATATTCTACGTCTCTCATGATTCTCAGGATCTAAAGATCTTTAGCTACATCGCCAGAGATGGTTCCAGCAACGTCTTCAGGTGTAATGTCTTTAAGTCCAAAAAGAAGGTAAAGGGGGAGGGGAGGGGCTAGTATTCTAATTAGTTTTTTATTATTATTTTTGTCCTGTGTGTCCAGGGTAAGCCAGTCTCACATTGCCTTGTTTCATTATTGGTGGCTCCCAAGATTTAAAGGCTGGCTATAAGACAGAGCAGAAATACCTCTTGAATGTTTCCCATTTGACTTGCCTCAGCATTACCCAAGCATTACCCAAGTTCAGTCTGGATTGTGAAGGGTGGTGTGACTTAATGAGAAAGCCCTGGATTTGAAGGAGGAGTCCCTGGGTTGAATCCTGGCTCTGCTCCATTCTGCATGGGTCACCGTGCGCTAGATTACATAGCAAACCTAGGCCTCTTTTTTCTCACCTGTACCATTAGTGTTTTGGGGTCATTGGTCGTTAGTTCTAAATCCTATGTTCTATCCTGCCACAAGCAGGGGTGGGCTGAAGCTAACTCAAGCTGGCTCAAAGAGAAGGGAGAGGAATTAGCATTTGTTAATGTGCCTACTATATGCAGGCATTCTGCTAAGTGCTTTACAAATATCTCGTTTGATTCTCATAACAACCCTGCAGAGTACCTACTGTTATCATCCTCATTTTACAGTTGAGGAAACTGAAGCAGACAGGTTTATTAACTTACCCTAGATCATTGTTATTATGCAGTCATTTTTTTTTTCAGGCATGTTTGGCTCTCGGCAAAGATTCTGGAGTAGTTTGCCATTGCCTTCTCTAGCTCATTTTACAGATGAGGAAACTGAGGCAAAGAGGGTTAAGTGACTTGCCCAGGGTCACACAGCTAGTAAATGTCTGAGGCCACATTTGAATTCAGAACTTCCTGACTCCAGGCCCTATCCATTGCGCCACTTAGCTGCTAGTTGTTAAATTTTCAGTGTTATTTACACGTCAGAAATTCAGCAAATACTACAAATTAAGGCTTGATTTATTCTTTTGTTGATTGTCTAGACTTCAGAAATGGTGGAGAAAAATGTAATTATGCAGATCAAACTTAAAAGGGTGTCATGCATATGTGATTTTTTTTTCCCTTTGGAGAGCTGTTTGCTTATTAAATAATTACCAATGCAACCGTGCAGAGGGATGTTTAGCAGTGCTATAGATTGTAAAAAAAGAACTCTGCACTGGGAACAGGTGGAAGAATGAGGCTGGGATGAGTTTTAAGGCCATTTCCTGAGGTAACATTTCAACCTTGTTCTGTGATTTGAATCCAGGGCTTGGGGTCAGGGAGTGTGGCCTTTACAGCCATGCCTGCTAGTGCTTAACAGTAACTGAAACACAGAATATTCAGGCTAGTTGAATTTAGGAGCCTCACGTGTGACTTCAGGCAAGACAGTTACCCTCTCTTCCTAAATAATTCCTTTGGGCTGGGAATCTCCA